TATAGAGGATGTCCGTGAAGAAGAGAAGTTTGCGTGCCCTTATGAGGTTTCGAAATATGCTGGCAGTGCATATGCCTCCAATAAGGTCAGACAGGTAGGTCTCAACTGAAGAGTTAGATAAAATATGTTCACAGGCAGAATAAGCTCGCCAACCTCCCGACAACATTCTAGGGGGAAGAGCAGCTCTAACTCCAAAGCCGACCAGATGGAGCTCTCTTAGCTCTGTAAGGCCATCCATCTAAGAGAAAGGTGCTCTAACTAAACCTATATCCTGAGGAGCTCGTTGTCATCATCCAAGCTCACTAAGCGCTGGCACATGAACCTTATAGAAGTAAAGGGATGAACATGCTGTGCTTCAAAAAATCCACTGTGCGGGCTCGAAAAATACATCCACATTTGTAGTGTTTACATCAAGTGTGAGTATAGCCCTTCCCATTTTTATTCACAAAGCAAATAACCAGTACAGTAAAGTTACACTTCACTGTATTTGGTGCTTAGTTACAAAAAAAAATTTGAGATGACATTATTTGTTTACTTGAATATTTAAAGTAATAGCAAGTATTTAACTTGAACATTTGAAGTAATGCTGAGTATTCAATTGTTTGAATTTTTGAAATACTATAAAGTATTCGACTACTTAAATATTTAATTATCTGAACATCTAAACAGTATTTGAACGTTTAATTACTTGGATATCCGAAATGGTACTAAATATTTGATTGTTTGTACACCACGGGATTTCAGCATTTGCAGCAAACGATTACTACGGAAACTGCCGTTTGTGTTGATATAATATTAAAGTAGTATTAAATATTTGATTACTTGAATATCTGAGAGCACGACTCGAAGATCTTTTTCATCGTAAATTCGTGCTATAAACACCCGTTTAAGCATCTCTTTTGCTGTATTTTCATCCTGAAATTTGAATTCTGTGAATTTGTATTTGATGTGCATGCCATAGCAGAATTGTTCGAATGTTTTGGAAAACATTGAACTGTTTCCGGTTGAAGTATACTATCGTACTGTTTGGATTTTTCCGACTGAAAGCACGGAAGAAATATCAGTAGTAAAAATAAGCAGTGCTGGTAAGGAACGTTCGATTTTACAATGAAACAACTCAAATCAATCCAGAATTCCCACCAACATCAATATAAATCACCTGCACACCACGGGATTTCAGCATTTGCAGCAAACGATTACTACGGAAACTGCCGTTTGTGTCGATATAAACGATTTTGTTTTGTTCCTTTCCGTCATCGATCAACTGATTAGCTATGAGTGAAAGACATAACTGCAATTGAATAAATGCATTTTAATAAAGCTAAAAAGATTCAGCGGAATTTTTCTTTAGTTTTACTGAAGCAGAGTAATCCATTAGAATAAAAGTACGATTCTAAATGAAAAAAGTATCAGTTCCACCTGTGTCTTTCCGGAAGCAACGTTACCAACAAATTCGGTAAGTTTACCCTTAGCAACACCACCATTGAGATAAGTATCGATATCCGGGCAACCAGTTTTATGCATGAGCCACGGTGCACCAAGTCTCAGGAATAGATTAAGTCCCGTTTCTTCATCATATTCTGGGTTGTCAATATTCATAATTACCTAGAAATTCCTCAAACGAAAACACACCGATGGCTTCATCTCCTAACATAATTTTTCACGATTTTTGAAAGCAACTTTTTTTTTGTCATCCATTTTCACCGTCAATTGATAACGTTCGTCAGAAAGACCAGTTCATAAATTGGCATGAATGTTTACACTCTGGAATCATTCGAATAGAATACTTGCTGACCTAACCCAACTGGTATGGATCAATTATGCAATGAAATGCTATCTTCGAAAAGACATCAAATTTCAAATCCTTTTTATTGCAATAAAGACTACTCACAAAAAAACATGAAAATGGGAATGTACATTTTCCTACAATTTACAACATTAAAACACTGGATGGTTTTACCTTCTGAAGTCCGAGCCTGTGAAATGCTCTAGCAAGCTAATTTTAAACAAAATTTTGGTGAAATGTTTCGAAAAAAGTGAAGTAAGATAATAATTTTCATTAAAAATACCGCTAAAAAAATGGGTGGTTTCACCTTCTAAACTCCGAGTCTTTACGGAAAATGTAGTCTCTTGCTTCCTAACAAAAAAATTATAGCATAAAGTAACAAAAACCATTAAAAAACATCGGAATATGACATTTTTCAGTGTTTTGGAAAATAATCTGAAAAATAATATAACCAACGTTGATCTGATAACAAGTAAGTAATAACAATTCTAGAAGATCTGAAAGAAAAAACAAATCAAGACGTGCAATAATTCAAAAATAATCTATGAGAAAACATCTACAACAATATAGAATTATGTTCTATGCCCGTCTATCCGTTTGCTATGTAACTGCGCTACACACAAATCTCAAGTAATACTAGGAAATTTGATGGAAGAAAATTGTGGTATAAATTAATTTCACTACAAGCAAAAAAATATACAATGAAGGAGTAACATATAGAGATAAGCGAATGATGTCAACAGGAAAAAGGAATGACCTGAAGCCTACTTCTTACACTTTTCTTCAAAGAAAGTACACTTCATTTCATATTCATGGATGATTCAGTTTCTGTTCTAATATTGGCACAATCAAATGCTCATTTGCCATTAAGTTATACTTTTTCACGAATACCGTAAACCGACGACAAAGATGCGTTTCTGTCTGAAAGTCAGCATATGTTATTCAATATCGATAATTTTGTCATGCAAAAAATAGGATGGAAAAAATCCCGGGAAACATGAACATATCACCCTGTAGTCTGTTCAATTTTCCCGGAATTGAGTTATAAAGGCCATCTGTCAGTCTATTTTAGTTCGGAATTGCACCTGGTACCTGCTGATCAAATATGTGATTTAAGAATGGGACATCACCTCAAAATTTTCAAAGAGTTCTGGGTGATGAAAGTAAGCATGTGAGAAAATCCGATAAATTCGTCGGCATACTGAACCAATTTTTGCAATCGATGATTCTTTAATTGAAATGCGACTGGGAAAGTATTTGTTACTATTCAGTAATGCCGCTGCACCGTCCAAAGTATGCCGTGTATAATCGATTGCAGAACACTACAAAAACTATGATATGAAGATGAAAAAACTATTGCAATTAGTAAACAACAGATAATAAATATTGTGGTAGCCGAACACTGCGAAAAGCAAACCGAAATTTGAATAAAGTAAACTTTAAGGGTAATATAGCTCACAAAAAATTCTGTCCAAACAATTGTCCGAATGATAATTCTATGGAAGTGGCGATTTACAAAAACCGATACCTCTTTTGGATTTTTATGAGCCGCACAAAGGAATATCCACTGTTCCGTGGCAGTCATCTGCATGCAAACATCTGGCTTACATTCATCCTTGAAAATTTCGGATATCTCAATTCCACAAGTCAGTTATTTCAACGAAAAAAATGAATCGCAATGATTTTAAATCTAATTTAACAACTTTCTTCTTACTGCTAAATTCTAGGGAAAGCATTAATTTTGAATTCTAAATTTCCAAATCATCCGCGGTTTCGTCAAAATTTCCTTAATTTTAGCAAAATGCTACCAGTGTTGAACACAATCATAATAATATCGTCAAAATATAAGCCACCTGTGTTAATTTTTACTAAAACACTTAAGATGGATCATTTCCCTCCATAACAACTCAACAAACACATCATAATGTTTTTACCTGTAAGAGCAATGTTAAGCCATTGAGCTGCATGCAAAACTGTCTCACATGTTCGTATTTCCACACTCCTTCTTCCTGACCTGGCGGAACTTTTAAAATAGTATCCACATCTGATGGATCCTTATGAATACACTGTTGTATGTATTGTTGCACATTCAGCGTATTATCCATCTTAAATAAGACAAAAACAGACATATCTGATTTAAATTTGATATTTAATCACTGTTATTATCAAAATTAATGAGTTTGAAGCTAGAATTATCTTGCTCATTCAATAAGGACAAGGTTGTCGTCTAACATATAAATAATATTGTCTAACAAAGTTCAAATGCGTGGATCGAAATGCAAATTAGTAGTCTTCGCAGCTGTATAAACACGGTTATATGTGCTAAATTATTAGTTAAGCTATTTATCAATTTTTACAAGAATGTCTAAGTAAATCTAGGCATAACTTTAACTTGCTTCTCACACAAAAAGAAGAATTCAACAATATCTACTGCGGAAATACACCTATTTTCGTCTGAGCAAAATAATTTCATTTTCATTTTTTGATTTTCACTTCGTAAATGCAATACTTTGATTTCAAAGGAATCTGCATCATTATAAACAACAGAATTTAGATTTTAATTAAACCATACAAACAGATATATGCATATATATATATATATATATATATATATATATATATATATATATATATATATATATATATATATATATATATATATATATATATATATATATATATA